CCGAGATCTCTCTTCTGTCCTTTTTGACAAACTAACCCGGGGATAGCGTTCGAGGCCAGCCCGACTGTCCCGGGCAAAACCCGGCCGAGAAATAACAACGCGAGACGGCGGGGACACCTGCTGCGGTCCCACGTGATAGTCATCGCACGTCTTCCTTCCATGCGCCCCTGGTACTCCATCTCTGACGCGGCGGACTCAGCGCGCCGTGTCGGCAAATGCGAGGTTGCAGCTGCTGCTATTGGCGCGGTTGGGCGGTCCCTCGCCCGGCACCCGTTGTGTACAAATATTGGTTCTTTTCTTCCGTTCAACGCTAAGCTGACAGTGCTGTAGGGGTTATGTGCTCGTTGAACCAGTCCGACGTCTATCTTTGGTCACGTGATCACTCGTTGAACCAGTCCGACGTCCATCTTTAGCCACGTGATCACTCGTTGAACCAGTTCGACGTCTATCTTTGGTCACGTGATTACTCGTTGAACCAGTCCGACGTCCATCTTTGGCCACGTGATCACTCGTTGTGTCTATCTTTGGTCACGTGATCACTCGTTGAACGAGTCCGACGTCCATCTTTGGTCACGTGATGGCGCTTCCGCCCGTACCGACGAATAGAAGGGGCGGGGGGGGGGGGGGTCGATGACAAAAGGTGGTTGCAATGATTTGTCTGGCGAACAGACGGTTACACGTTACTGAAATAGAGTAATTAAGTGCCGTTACTGGTTACTAACTCAAAAAAGTAACTATGTATGAGTTAGACATTAGTCACTGCAATGTAACGGGAACGCTTTACCTCAACTTGCGCGCGTCTTCTTTTTAATGGTTTATCTAGCGTTTGTTGGGATGGGAACTGGTTTGGCTACTCGTGTTGGTCCGCGTTCCCCTCCAGAAGTAACTGAATACCCTTACTCGTTACTTGTTTAAAGTGTAACGAAGAGCGTTACCCCTTCCTTCTCTCGAAAAATAACCATAAATTGTTGCTTTATGACCCAGGAGCTAGGTATGAATAACGAGTTGCTTCTAAAGCGCTACGTACAACGCATACAAGTCTGCCAGGCGAGCACGTAGCCCCCACCGCACTGTCAGCTAAAGAGCTGACTGAGCATAGCTGCCGGTGTACTTGTAAAGCGGCCACTCTTTCTTTTTGTATGCTCGAAGCAGTGCTATTCGATACAATCGCAGACTTTGATTCGAAGCGCGCGGGCGCTCACGCTGGAAGCTGACTTGGTAATACTCGTTTGCGCATTCAATGCACGCGTGACTGGCTTGACTGATATACTGACCACTAATAATTGGCGCCGACAATTCTTGTTTAACATTTATATGAAGTCTGTTGTTGCTTCTTTATTTTCTTTTTAACTGTTTCTAAAATGTAAGATTAAGTGATAACGCTCTATTTCTCCATTGTGTGTCTGTGTTGAGGAAGAGGAATCGAGAAAACTTACTTCGGTTGAAGTGCACGTGGAGCGAAAGCTCGCGCTGCAGAACTCGAGAATTCTGGATTCGATTCCCCGCCATTGCTCGTTTCCTTCGGATAATCATCGTGCCATACTGTGGCAGCTACTATAAACTATAGTCAGTGTGTTTCGAGAGCGTAGCACCAATACCACCAACCTCTAAAGCAGAAGCTCCAAAAGTTCGTTGAATTATGAAAGCACATAACCTGTGACAGGCACGTAGCCAGGGAAGAGGGGGGGGGGTGGGGGGGGCGGGTTCTTCCCAATATCTTCCATTTTGCTGGGGCTTCCTCTCTCCCTCCCTCTCATACAGCATTTTGTCATAAGCGCTCCCCCCCCCCCCCCCCCCCCCCCCCCGAAACAAAATCCTTGCTACGTGCCTGACCTGATGATCCCCTTGGAAGCAGTATGCTCCATCATCTTCAGAAATAACACGAAAATAGCAAATTTATTATAATTTTCGACGAACTGTCCGGGACAATCGGCCTAGTTGCGAAAGCAGGAGAGGTAGCGCAGCTCCCCTATCGGACGCCAACTCTAGTTCGAGCTTTCGCCGCCGCGTGAAGAGGGCGTGCGCACGCGCCAACCTCTTTCAGAAAGAGAAAAAAAAAGGGTCCATTGTTTTTTTGAGGAACGGTCCTACACCAAAGTACCGCCGCAAGCGTTTCTTCTTACACACCGGGGGCGTTAGCGGGCACTTCTCTTCTGAGAGCGTAGATACGTTGTAGTACAGTACAGGATAACAGAAAACCGCTACCACGACGAGCTATCTCCTCGGTGTCACAACTTTCACGCCTGATCTTTTGTCTCTCGCGTAAGGATTCTTTGACGGAAATACCAGCGTCCGACGCTCTATCTCGGTCTCCCTGACGGTTAGCGTGAGGGGGGTGAGAGATAACGCGACAGATAAGGCCTGCCGTTGTAAACGCGTACTTGTGAAATGGGTTCACGCCGAGGAGCTCTGGCCTTTTTATGATTGCGCGGCGTAGCCCTTATCCTGGCGGTTTGCACACAACCGAGGCTCGAGAACTGTTTCCGTGGGTTGCATGTTTTCTCGCACGTATGCAACTTTGCAAGTGACACCGTTGTTTCGGGGGGAGACCGTGGAGCTACGCTGCCATGGTCTGGACACTTGCTTAAACGTTTCAAAAGTGAATTACATATAAAAAGAAGTTTAAAAAGGAAAATATTTACTATGTGGATCCAAACTTTACTGCAGTCTTTAGCCGAAGTTCTTCCAATTACGAAAAAACAATAACATTACATTACACATAAAGGGGGCAGTTTTTTGTTTTTTTTCTTCTTCTTGCTCGAGGTGAACAGTTATTTCTCTTATTTATGTCTCAACCCCGTCGTGAATAGACAAGGTACCTAAAACAGAACTATGTAGCTTTTTCTAGTGTTGAGTGCGCAGCAAGGACTAACGACATCTAACAAATCTCGAAAGAGAGAGAGAGAGAGCTAAAAATTTGAATAAATTGTTTCGTTATAGTTAAATTTTAATAAATTGTTTCGTTATAGTTAAATTTTAATAAATTGTTTCGTTATAGTTAAATTTTAATAAATTGTTTCGTTATAGTTAAATTTTAATAAATTGTTTCGTTATAATTATACCGAATTCTGTCATACAACGAAGCCGTTTTCCTCCAGATAGCCATGTGTGAACGAGTACCCTTATGAGGAATTTCTCTGTCTTACACTCGAAGATACCATCGCTTAATTAACGATTCAGCTGCTCCGTTGTGTGACAGTTGTTTGCCTTGATGAATTGCCGCTATCCACCAAAAAAAGTAAAAAAAAAAAAAAAAAAACAGCGGAAATAGCATACAACATAACACCGCATTAAAAAGAATGCTCCGCGTCGAATGTGGTAGTTGGTCACGTTTTCCAGCGAAACGGTATCCTCTGCCTGGGGGCGTCTGCGGGGGAGAGTCGTATCGGCGGGAGGGGAGGAGGTAGAAAGGAGGGGGGGTCAGTCGTGTGGGGTCAGGAACCACTTGACCCCGGTTGGAGTTGCACCTGGTACTCTCGGAATTCTGACGATTGCCGTCTTGGCGCGGGAATGGAATTCCCGAGGTCACGGCACGTTTCATGGGTGATGGCGGTGGGAGTTGGGAGCGATGTTTTCGTTTCTGAACTTTCGTTTTGGTTTGATATGAGCGCGAAGAACGGGCGCTGCAAGCATCATGATTTATCGTGTCATTTTATTTGTGAGAAGGGAGGGTGGACGTCTTGATGGGGACATCTTGGGTTAAAACATAAATTGTCGAAGGAAGACCAGAAATTATATATCATGAAATTGTTGCACTTCAGGAGCATTACACAGAAAATGAAGCACTCATACATATCAATGGCGACACGGTGCCAACATTTTCCTTACTTTTTCGAACATCTGATGATGTTCGGGAGATGTCGCGCACGATTTGGACAATTCAAGTCGTTTTTGTAAGAAAGAAACAAATAGTTGCGATGTTCTTATAAGCAATCTGAAACTGAAATAGTCCCAGTAGACGGAACACACATGGGTCTCGCGGACACAAGCGCAGCGAAAGATCACACCGGATTTCAAGATTACGGGGACCATCCTGGGGTGTTCACCCGAAGCTGCGTCTACGTCTGTGCGTAAACCTCTGGAGCGCTCGGGACTCCCGCAACCAGCCCCAACAGCCACTGGAGCATGGTCGCAGTCTCCGCCGGTGCGACCTGCGCCCGAGACCCGCGTCCACTGCACTTCGTCTTGTTTATGAAACGGCCTGCCCGTTGACAAGTGCATTTAGGAGTTATACTGGCTGTGTATTTGTGTGTCTGGATGCAACGGCTTTTGGGTTAAGGGGAATACTGGCGGGCAGTGACTTACCTTGGGAAAGACACAACTTCGCCGTTGGTTGAAAAACTAAGGTTCAACACGTACCGGAAGCTATAAACAAAACGCCATCTCGGAGGCGACCACCTCTGCACTCCCTGACTATCTAATTGCCACATGTTACATGCCGATACGCAACATTATGAATAGAGTGAGGTGTTCCCATCACATTACTTCCTCGTGGAGACATACTGAACGCACATTCCCACACAGAGAGGAAGGCTCTTAAGATTCAGCCTTCGTCGTAAGTGTCCTGCACAACATTGATAAGGACTTCAACACTCGTCTGTACGCCTTTCAAGGAGCACTTTGCCGAAAGCTCCACAAGAAACGCTTGATCCGATCAACTAGACTAATGTGCTCTAGGGAAACGACGGCGAGTCCGTACTAAAAGTTCGCTATAAGTGCTGCTCTTATATCATTCTCGACAACAACAGACTAGCCTCCACTCTGAAAGCTAGTGTCCCTTTTTCTTTTCTTTGGAGATTTGCCGAAGACGCTCGAGAAGGCAGGCATGTTGCCCGTGCAGCTTCTCCACTGAGAAGTGCCGTTAGCCAAGCACCATTCGACATGATAAGCTATCGCTCCTGGAGTTGACCAAATAGCACCTTGGGCTGTGTTTGAAAAGAAGGGCGGGGAAAGGGAGATAGGAGGCTTAGTCCGCGAAGCTATGAACAGCCCTTCACTTTTTTTTTTCTTCTTTCCTTCGAGTGGCCGCCGCGTCGGAGTGCGAAGCCGGCGGCATCATTCGCGCGCCGGGGCGCGTGGTATCCAACAACGCGCGAGTCCGCTGCAGCCAGACGTAACCCAAGACGCAGAGAAGTCCAGTCCATAAACATTATCAGGTACACCTCGGTGCGCGCGCTAAAAACGCCGCTCCCTCCCTTGTTCGTGCTGCAGGCAACGATGGCACGGTGGAGGAGGACGCACAGCTGGCGGCCGTACAGGAGCACGACGACGTGCGTAAGCCTAACGTGGCGGCCAACCAGGTCGTAACCGTCTTCCAGACGACCACGTTTGCGAGAGGCGGTCCTCTAGGTGTACAACACGGCCTCTACTTCTGGAAGTCTGCAAAACCAGTCTGCGTGCTCTTCACTACTGGAAGTCTGCAAGACGAGTCTTCTGAAGGGAGTTCCTCGGAGGGTGGTTTCCAGGAGTAGTCTTGATGAGGTGTCTCCCAGGGTCCTTGACCCGATGAACTGTGTTGTGAAGGTACAATAGCCTCGGGCTGTAAGGTGCAGGAGGAGATTCGAAGTGCCTAGTTAGGATTAGACAAAATAAAATAAAAAGTCCGCTTGGATTTAGAGGAAAAAGAGGTGATGCGGACTTTCGTGGGGAGTGAGGTCGAGTCGCCATGACTTCGAGGACTTTGGTCGTTGTGACCCTTCTAGTCATCTTCGTACTTCTGGTCGGAGCCGTTCGGTCCAAAAAGAACGGCCATGTCAAGAAAGGAAAGAGTGCGTATCATACAATTTTTGTTTCTATCTTGACACTTCGAGCTCTTATTGTTGGTGTGGTTGTGGTGTCTAACTCTGTTGTTTGTGATTGTACGCTGCTGTGTATAGTAGTTTTTTTTTTTTTTTTATTGGATGTATTGAACAACGCAGCTCTCTTGTTTAATACTCTCCCTCGTGTGACATTCTTCGAGCTCACTTTTCTATGTGTATTTCGGTCATGTTATGCCGCCTATAGTGTTTTTATTTGCTTTGTTGAGCTTGCAGTCTTGCCTTACTGGGTTACGTGCTCGTCCCTGCACTCGCAGGGGAGACAAGGTCGGTTTTCAATATCTTTTCACATCTGCGTACAACGAGTTTGCGTTGGTGCAAGGTTGTCTAGCAGTCCGTATTGCTGTCGATTGCGTGCTTTCTTTGATCTTGCATCGAGTGCTTTCTCATCTGCGTGCAAGCTCAAAGAAGCCCTTTATCCTGGCTTTATCTTGTAGTTTTAGAACCGGCGGCGCTCTTTCGCAAGGAGGAGAAAACAACAAAAGAAAAGTCCACCAGCGGTTAGAAGTGTTTATGGGTTCTGCACGTTCGGAGTACCTTATCAGGAGGGAACTGCTTACTTGAAGCGATGCTGTATAGCTTGGTCTCAAGGTCCATCGGGTGATTTATTAAAAATAAAGTTTGCCGCAAAATATTATGAGAGAACAAGCTCGAGTACCTGAAGTACAAAGTGCGCATTTGCCGCCAGTGAAAAAAAGAAAAAAAAAAAAAAGAAAAGAAAATAATTGAAAAAAGAGGCGAAGTATTTTAAGTACTTTTGGAGGCAAGAAAAAAAATCGACATTTGGCGTTTTACGTTTGCACACAACATTCCTTTTTTAAGATAGGTGTTTTCGGGACAAAAGTAATGTCCACAGCTTGTTCTAACTGAAAGTTGTTTTTTTTTTTTCTTCAATGAGCACATGTTCTTTTATTCATGTTTTTGCTAACACTGAAGATGACTTGCGGGATAAAGTATACAAAGAGTTTTTTCGTACTTATAGGACGAACACTGATCCATGTGCCTTTAGGTAAAAACGGATGGGAGGGGCTTCAGTTGTCCCGCCTCCAGCACCAGCTTCCTACCTTCGACAGTGCCTTGCGTTTCGTACACCGCGAGCGCGCGCGCGCAGCCAGCAGCACAACGGAAGGCGCAGAGGGCGCGTGCCGGAGGCCGGGCGTTCTAAAAGACATGCCCCGCCGTTCTCGCTCTCTCAGCGACCATACTTGCTTTAACCACAGCTCGGGCTGGCGACCACATATTCACGCCCTACGGACCTTTTTCGCATAACCTCAAACCAGCCAGTAACTGACGTACCCTTGACCTGGTGCATTTTTAGATTGCCCGCTGACACAGGGTATGCAACCGCCAAGGGTATGGGCGAAGAGGCTTAAAAACAGATGTCGTGTATGAGTTAGTTCCGAGTGCTCCTATTTACTTTGCTGCAATTTCCAAAAATCTATGGTTGTCTGGCTACCACTGCGTGGTCGTCGGATGGATAAATAATTTCAAAAAGCATAAGAACAATAGCAGAAAGTGTGCCATGAGGACAAGGAGCTGCAGCGCGAGTGTGGCTGCAATGTTATCGAGCTTCGCATTTTCCCAAGAATCCTAATTTATGAAATCAGTCGATTGCGAGATTTAATCGCGAGAGATACGTATCAGACTGAACGTCACGTTTAAGCTCACGATCACTTCGTGTACGACAAGAGGACAGATTTTAATTCCCGGTGCAGGTGGTCCAATTAGGTTATCACTGCAAGCCCCATGGTATATGAAAGGTATGAAAAAGTCTACATGCCACCACTCAAGATGGAGCTATCAAATGTCGAGAGCTTACCTGCATATATATAGACTACATTAAATTGCTCATATATGCTTCGCTGTGGAAACTCAATCAAAACACCCCACCATCTTCGTCCTCATTCTTTCGAGGCGGCAAGGTGATGGCCTGTGAGTAGCCAGCTGGATTTAACCGGACAAGCTCCAACCAAGTTATTGCAGCCCACCATAGCCAAGTCTAGCCAAGTTCCCCCCATACCCACACCGTTGCCTACCCAGATAGCTGTGCTGCCAGATGGCGGCGCCTTTAAAGAAAAGGTCTATAGGGTACCTCGACGCGTGCGTGTCCCTGGAACACACCCTGTTTTCTCAAGCTGACTGGCTTCCTATGACTTTTTACTGCAGGGACTAGTAAAAAGTCATTGGAGGCCAGTCAGCTTGAGAAAGCAGGGACTGTCCATGGTCACTGGCAGGATGAGAACAGCAGGGCGTCTCTTTCGGATGCTGTTTGGAAAAGGCACCGCAAAAGACCAGTACCATAGAACTCCCTACCTCCAGGCACTCGCTCGTTGCCTTCTGTCAGGTTTTGGCTGCGCATGCGCGCTTGAGGTTTTGCGAGATACCGGAACGTTATCAAAGGTAGGAAGCTCATGCTGTATGCAGGACAACTTGCAGTGACTTTTTTACATATATAATTAATGGCCTTGTCCTGTAGTCAGTGGCTATTGTCACTGCGGCCTCTTTGCTGCCATAGGCTGCGAAAGAACTGTCACGGCCTACGGTATAGTGAGGCCTATGGCAACGATCGTCCGGGAACGACAGTGTGTGTGACCTGGCGATTCCTATTTCTCGTCCAGTCTGCATCGGGACCAACGGTCGCATGTCGGTTCCGTCGAACCGCGAGCACCACTACCAGAACCTCAGGGACCGGTATACCAACTGCACCTACGTGGACGGGAACCTGGAGCTGACATGGCTTCAGGTATGGCAGTCATCTTTCCGCCACTTTTTGAGTGCAAGGTTCGGAGCAACGGTGTCACTGGGGTCGGGAGGGTGACATGCCATGTGCTGCTCTTTTGGGGGTCTCAGAATTCCATGGTTTTGAATTACTAGATTTTTGTTTTATTTGCGTGAAAATTAAATTTGGAAGCCTACGTTGATCCCGTGCTTGCCGTAGATTCCAGAACGTATTATATACTATATATTTTACAATTCTTTTTATTAATGTAGACATTTCCTATAAAAAGTTAGTGCATTCAAGAAAATAAAATAAAAGAAATGTGTTTATCCCACGGCCGCCCAGGTGTCTTAAACTCACTTGAGTGTGAGGACCAGACAGCCCACCTCCCCAAAACCCACAAAGTGCATATGAATGTTTGAAAGGGTACGTTCCAAGAACATTGTGCGTATGAATGTTCGCCAACGAATGTTCCTAGAATGTTGAGCAGCTTCCTTGTAGGGAACGTTTGCATACAAACGTTCCGAATGGTGTTTTAACGTTCTTTCAACACTCAGAACATCCAAGGAATGTTCGTGCAACATTGGGTGCTACTTGGGAAGGTCGAGGGCCAACGAGGTGGGGGGTTGGGGGGGGGGGGGGGGGGGTATTTTAATATTCTGGGACGAAAAAACAACAAAAAACAATCATGTTTCATGTCGCAGAGCAGCCAACTTTCCCAGCAAATGCCCCAGAGATTTTCTAGAGAAGGGACTGAGCGTTCCCTACATTTTGCAAGCTCGCCATTTTGCCAGGGACATTTTTAAGCTTTGATTTGCATATACCACTTTGGGCCCACACCTGATTATAAGAAAATATGTGTATTTAAAAGGTATTAAGCCCAAGTTCAGGGCTTAATCTTTGGCAGTTTTTCCTGCTGAGCAAAGGTTCGTGCAGCAGAGGTGCCTCCTTGAGCAAAGAGCTTGAGCTTGTAGTCCAGTAGTGCACGGTATTCGTTGCGGTTAGTTGACATCACAAAGAGCCGAGATGCAAACATATAGACATAGCAATCCTCGCTCCAAAAGAAAACAAAAGAGTGAAAAAATGTGTGAACAGGTTATATGAGCAGAGCTTCTTTTCAAGCTGGAATGAATCGACGATATAAAACTATTACTTATGCCACATGTGCTCTCGAGGCATAGGAAAGGGGGCTCGCAGCCACGATACACTTGCGAGCCGCGTCCCAGGTTTTCGCAGGCCGCATGAGACCCGCGGCAAACGTTCCAAGGTGTTTGAGACCCTCTACTAGCCTATCTGAAATTCTAGATTTTTCTTTCTTGAGTGTTAAGTCTGCAGGCCTGCATTAGAGGCCGTTGTAAAAGAAATGCAAGTCACATTTTTCTCCCCATTGGTGCCTCCGGTAGTCGGTAGTAGCACAAACTATAGGAATCTTCTCCCCCTTTTCCTCCATCCCAACAAAAAACAAACAAACACAAGCTTAAGAGAGGAAATTGTACTAATATCTTTCAGGTACTTGAGGCAGAATATGCTTTACCGTGATGTATTATTCTGCACTGCTTGCTTAAAAGGCAAAACTCGTTCTAGAGAATCCAGAGTAAGGATGCTCTTGCCTCAAAAGATGAATACTACTGGATGCTCCAGTGTGCACAGCTTGTCCATGAGTGTCTCTAATTGGAGAGATTTCAGTTTCGCTGTAATAATAATGATTATTTTGGATCGGGTTGGCTATTCCCCTTGTATCGAGTGACGAGTTCATGCTGTGCTTCCAGAGATGATGATGATAAGTGAAGATTAAAAGAAACTTGTGGACTAGTTTGGACTATATGGACTATGGTTTGCACTATATAGACTATAAGAGTAAAGTGCTTCCACTTTACTCCTATAAGGGTAAAGTGGAAGCTCCTCTCACCTCTTTCCAGTTTAACAGAGTTTAACGCTGGAGAGGATTTTGTTTCCTTTCCAGCATTCTTCCTGCTTAAGTGGAAAGAGGTGGGAGGAGCTTCCACTTCACTCTTAACCTAGCTGTTGCCAACCATAGTCCTTGACGGTTGCGGCGTCATTACCAGTGCCATCCAGCGAGTAATTCCTTCCCTGAACGCCCGGCACTTGCGCAGAACAAGAGCCTGGACCTGAGCTTCCTGCGGGACATCCGCGAGGTGACCGGCTACGTGCTCATCTCGCACGTGGACGTCCAGCGCATCCTCCTGCCGAGCCTGATGATTGTGCGCGGCCGCAACCTTTTCAAGCTCAACGTCCACGACGAAGAGTTTGCCCTCATTGTCACCCTGAGCAAGATGGACAACCTGGAGCTGCCCGCACTGCGCGATATCCTGCGTGGCAACGTGGGCTTTTTCAACAACTACAATCTGTGCCACGTGCGGGGTGTCCAGTGGGACGAGATCCTCTCCGGACCACCGGCCCACATGGTCTACGTGTACAATTTCACCCAGCCTGAGCGGACCTGCCCGCCCTGCGACGCGTCCTGCCGCGGGGGTCACTGCTGGGGTGAGGGTCCGCACAACTGCCAGAAGTTCTCCAAGGTGAGTGCGTGCCATCTCTGTGGTCCGTGTACCTGAGGTCACCACTAGGTGTACCGAGCTATTTTTTCGAGTTTGATTACTTGTAGTAGTCAAGGCCTCCAGGATACTTCAGCACGGTTGAGACTCTTTCTCTCTCCCCTTGTGTTCAACAAGAGGAAGGAAAAAGGAATACCCTTTGGTACAAATTTGAGGGACATGACTAATTGGAAATGACATCGCTGGCCTCCTAAGGCGGTGCCTTCTCCGCAGGTGGAGCTTGGGTCGCTAGCATACTGTGAGTGCTTTGCAGTTCCGATGAGGCTTGATGCAAGCACCCCGCTCCGCTCGACGAAATTTCAATAATCTTGGGTCCAAGCTTGTGCCAAGCCTCGTCGAAACCGCCGAGCGCTCGCAGTGCTCTGGTGGCCTTGTTGGAGAGTCAATTGGAGGAATCCTCTCTCTTAGTGCGCACAGGTGGTTGAGCTCCTCCTTGCCTACCTCACTCCTCCTCGCCTACCCCTCTGGTCACATGACCTCCCCGTTAACCAATCCTCGTCGAGCACTCGTCAACCAATAAGTGTCGGGCCTCGCAGCCATACTTTTATCCAGGCTTCACTCTTATCTGGGCTTCACGAAAGGCTGAACACCTAGCCAAAGATTGTTTCATGTTAAAATAAACGAAGGTGACAGGCACTCTACCAGCCTCAACTTGTCGCGGCAAAACGAGCATGACTCTCTCTCTTTTTCCGCTGTTCTGTCACTCTCTTTCTCAATCTTTCTCTTGAGACCACCAATTACGATTTGCCGTACTCTGCTCCGGTCTTTACATTCCTGATCTGGCCCTACACATTCATATTGTATGTGACGATTAAGATGCCGTTTCTCAACCCGTCTCTCCGCACAGGTGAACTGCTCGCCGCAGTGCCACCAGGGGCGCTGCTTCGGGCCGGAGCCCCGGGAGTGCTGCCACCTGTTCTGCGCGGGCGGCTGCGTGGGGCCTAAGCAGAGTGACTGCCTGGCCTGCCAGAACTTCTACGATGACGGGGTGTGCAAGCAGGAGTGCCCGCCCATGATGCGCTACAACCCCAACACCTACTCGTGGGAGGACAACCCGGACGGCAAGTACGCCTACGGGGCCACCTGCGTCCGGGACTGCCCCGAGCACCTGCTGCGGGACAGCGGCGCCTGCGTTCGCAACTGCCCGCCCAACAAGAAGGCCCAGCACGGGGAGTGCGTGCCCTGCGACGGGCCCTGCCCAAAGAGTGAGTCGAGTCGTGACGGAACCTTGTATGTGGAGTGCAAGTTCGCCTGCTTCTTTTTGCAGAAGTTGTGGTGATGTTACAACGCCAAACTCTGATTGGCTCTGGTTGTGGGGTAGTGTGTAGACCTCAAGACAGCTTCCTTATGGTTTGCCCACTATTTTTCAATCGGAGCCAATCAGAGCTCGGCATTTCGACGTCACCACAACCCCTACAAACGAAGCAGACAAACTTGCACTCTGTGTACCGTAATATCCCGAGAAATGCCCCACCCCCGAAAGATAACCCACCCTTATCCTTATCATGATTTGTAAGTTTTTCAAAAACACTGAAAGATAGCCCACTTTTCATAATTGTAGGGCCCTGGCAGACGACGATTTTGGCAGAAATGGTGTTACTTACCCACGGTGAGAGATAAGCGAACATTGCAGACTGGGAACGACGGTCGAATTTGGTTCTTCACTTTTTTCTGCGATCACAAGTTTCGCAGGTCGCAGAACCCAATACTAGCACTTTTCAACCTTTCCTTTTTATTGCACACCGAAAGTTAGACAACTCTTTATTTTCACCCAATTTCCATTTGATTCTAGGTGGGCAATATCTCGGGATATTACGATATCATTTGCAAGGATGGCTTCTGGGTGCTGCCATCTTACTACTGGTGTGTGTAGATTGTCTGATGGTCAAACCACCGACAATTGTGAATGTATACCCCGTTTCACAATAACTTGGCGAACTGTGGAGACTGCGGCCACCGCGACCCAATAAGGGCGCCGGAACAAGACACGCAATAACACTCCATGATCGAGGCTACCAGGGCCTCCTTACTGCCACAGTAACACAGCCCTCCGCTACAAAAAGTAGTTCTAGGCTTCTTTTTCTTTTAACGGCAATTGAACTCGCGCGATTCCATCTACTAAAAAGAGAAGATATGAAGAATAAAGAATAAATAATTACAAATTTAGGAGTTTCAATTATATTTAAACCAAGAAAGTGACTTCACATCCGTATCCGCTCAGTTTTTTGCCTTAAAGTGTCGTGGCCATTGGTGATTGCCAGCGATTGCAGCCGTGTAATTGGAAGTTTCTGCCCAAAACATTCCACTGTGCCCTGTCATTAGCACCCGTCATAGATCCACAGCTAAATTGAGCGTATAGTTGCCTCACGAACTGTTCCCGAAGTGCTTGCCATTCTAGCCAACGGAAATGTTGCTGCAACGGACGTTCATTCGAAGTTGGTTGGTTTTGGAGCAGACGACTCTTGGCTAGCAGATGACAGTCGGTTCCTCCGGGCCTTGCGCCTCGCATTTGGCGTGGTGACATAAATGCTCCCGTAACATCAGGTCACGTGCCTCGCTCTGACGCTTTTATTGGGTGGCGGGGCCCTGGCCTCCACAGTTCGCCAAGTTATTGTGAAACAGAGTACAGTGGCCCCAACAAAGCGTTTTCCATCCAGGGTAGCCACACTAGCTCTCGAAGCGCGGCCGTTTGCAGACGTGCGTAATGTTTGCGAGTACAGCCTCTCGGTGCCGGCCATCTTGCTACCGCTGTGTGTAGATCATCTGATAGTCAAGCATTACTACGGTGTCCGGAACGCATTTCCAACTGATGTGCTCTGCGTCCTATCTCTCCCATGCATTTCGAGCTGAAAATTTCCATTAGGTTCCAATGGAAATTTTCCCATTGGCACCAATTAGGTTTTTAGACAACCAACTGGTCACTGACAGTGGGAACCAATAGGAGCCACTTAGAACCAATTCAGGTTCCAAGCGAAAAAAATAATTCTAATTGCTGGGACTATTTGAACAGTGTGCTTCCAGTTGGAACCTACTAAAACCATTTGATTCCAATTAGACGAGTTAGAATTCCAATTGGATGTAATGAAAATTTTTAGCTGTTTTTTCTTCCAAACGCTCCATTTTTGTTTGTGTTGCGTCAGAAGTGTTTGGGAGAGTTGGTTCCCGCCGACCGTCCAAACGCTGCCTCATCGCAAACTTTCATGCCTTCTTTCAATTCCCACGTTCTCTGTCGCGCAGACTGCCAAGGTGTGAACATTGTCAACTCCATCAACATTGAGTTATTCCGTGGATGCACCATCATCGAGGGCTCCCTCACCATTCTGGACTCGACGTTCAATGGATTCCAGGAGGTCTACGCAGAGTAAGTTCACGCTGCCACCTCCATCCCTATAATCACCAAGAGCTCTAGAAACATATGTGGTGCGGCTTATGTTTTTGCTTCGAGATTCATTGTTCGGCATCCTTATTGACTAGGGCCTCAATCTCATTGACTGCGTAGCGATATTAAAGGGCCGTTCGAGTAGATACTGAGATGGTCTATTTACGGTGATAAAAAAGCCCAAAATTACTCATGGGCGGCCGATTTCTTTAATGAAGCTCTAATCAAAGATTGTGTCACGCCCCCCCCCCCCCCTCCCCTCCTGCACCTCAAGCAAACACCAGGGGGCATTGTGGGACGGCATTTTCCAGAACCGTATATTGGGAGAGTCTGGCCAGTAGGTGTGGCGACAAAGGCGCTGGAGAGGAGAAAATTGAAGGAGAGGTGGGAGTGCCGAAGGAGCGAGTGAGAAAGGAGAAGCAAAGAGGAAACAACTGCCATTTTGACGCAGCACGCTTTCGGTGCAGAGCATTGTTGAGGCTACGCGTTTTCTGCTACGGGCCGACTTCTTTTTCGCCCGAATAAATGTTTGCGGTAATTTGTCCAGAAAACTTTGTTCGTTAAGCTTTTTAACCCATCGAGGAATAACACTGTATCATTTCTTTGCCAGAGCCAGCGAAATAAAAGGAAAGAAGCGAAATTTGGATGTTTATCCTATTCGTTCCATCAAGCGAATGAATGAAAATGGCGGACCTCCCCGCACAGCTGGGAGCAGCGGGGAGTTCATGTGCATGCTCTCGCGCCTCTCGCAGAGCTGATTGGCTCACTCATGAGGGGTGCATTACGGCAACGATATCATGAACTGGTCAAACTCTCCCAATATACGGCTCTGGATTTTTCAAACGATGATTGCTGAATTATGTTTCCTATAGCCAAAGATTTGACGTTTTCGTCAAAACATAACGCAAAGCGCGCCTAAAAAAGCAATAATAGAAACGTTTGGAATCTCGACGCAAGTAACTGTTTTCACTGGTCACAATTTATGGAGGTGGTGAGGACCCCAAGAGAAAATAGTGCCCTTTTAGGATGCTTATGTAGGACACGCCTCACCCTGCGTTGGTGAAGCCATTGGTTACTGTGGGAGGTTAATCTTTCAGAGTGTCATCGTGTTGTCAGAATGAAGCGTTCGTATTCCTTTTACTTTCCCGTGGATTATGCTAACCGTGGTGCCTGTTTTTTCTTTTTTCATTGTTTTCAGCTTTTCGTTTGGACCACGCTACGAAGAAATGGACCCCAGCAAGTTGGAGGTGTTTAGCACGCTGAAAGAAGTCACGGGCTACGTGAACATCCAGGCGTCTCACCCAAACTTCACCTCCCTGTCCTATTTTCGGAACCTCGAGGTCATTGGTGGAAGGACGCTGACCGAGTGAGTTTACCGTTTTAGAGCGCAGCTCTTAGGTGCCCGTTTCCAACTTGAGCGGCGTCGGCGTCGCCGTCGCCGTCGCCGTAACCGCAAGGTGCATCATGGGGAAATTTTCCCGAAGGAACCCGAGGTCCTCCCGAAGGACCTCGGGTTCCTTCGGGAGGACCTCGGGAGGACCTTGGGAGGACCTCGGGAGGACCTCAAAAGGACCTCGGGTTCCTTCGGGAGGACCTCGGGAGGACCTCATGTTTCTTCTGGAGGACCTCGGAAGGACCTCGGGTTCCTTCGGGAGGACCTCGGGTTTTTCGGGAGGACCTAGGGGGGGTCACATGACCCACCCCCCTAGGGGGGGTCACGTTATTCCCCCCTAGGGGGGGATCACGTGACGTCATCGGTGATGATGACGATGCGAATGCTGATGACGTCGTCAGTGACGTCACTGATGACGTCATCGTCACGTGACCCCCCGAGGTCACGTGACCCTCCCCCTTCCGAGGTCAACTGACCCCCCCAGTACCCTTCCCTCCTCCTCCTCAAGTGCTGCGCTTTAGTTCGGCGTTACAGGGAGTTGTAAACGGCTTTTTTTTCTTTTTTGTTGTTAGTATTGTTTACAATTGTATGCTTTTTTCTGCAAAGTTGGCTTTGTGATTTCATAAGGAAAGGCGGCTTCAAGTGATTGTTAGTGTGTGTACTGAGAACTTTTGTGCGTGTCCAAAGAGCAGTGAAGTTTAGAGTGAGTGACCACCAAATGAGCAATGATGGCTCATGTGTTTTCCTGGATGTTGTGCTCATTGAGCAACACTCCGGTGAAGGACTGAGGGCTTCGTGGCTCGCACCAAGATCTTAATTCCATCCCCAGTGTTGTTCTACTCAGCTTTGTTAAACTGCAGTCGTCGCTCTTGCTTTTTTTTGCAAGATTTTCTTTGTTTCTGGTTTCGTTGCCAGTCAAGCTCTGGTGGTATGAAGTAGAATCTTCTCGAACTCCAAAAAATGAGCAAACAGATTTTTATGAAGTGTTTCGCCCTTAAATATACCAGTGGATAAATGACACGAAACCTGTGAAATCGAAGCAAGGAGTTTGTTTAGGACACTGGAAAATATTTGCGAGTGCCTCATGCTTCGGCTCCCAAACGTGCGGAATTTGCTTTCTTCTCATTTGTTCAGTTTGCTGTTTTTGAATCTAGTGTTTCAATCAATAACACTGCCAAAATTCGCTATTATAATTATTATCTCGTATTGTTTTTGTAGATAGGGGCTAATGATATACAGTATCTGTAGGAAACTGATCTGGGAATTTCTTGAACAGTTGAACAAAACGTCTTTGACTTTAGCAGTTAAAGCTCAGCAAGTTGTCTTTTATCAGGCATGAATTAAGTGACAATGGACTCTAAAGGAGTTATATGCTGCTAGCATGTTGCTCAGTAGGCACCTATCACTCTCATCCGCATCAATGAAAGTTCGTCATTACTATCTCTGTTCCCCGTTAACGAAGTGTGTTGAGACGTTTGCTTGCTTTCAAAAGCCTTTGCCAGTTCCGCGACAGTGTCTGTTTCGCTGTGTTGAGACCGTTCCTCGCATTGTTTCGCCCTCAGTGGGATCCACGGTCACTTAATTTCTCATCTTGTGTACGAATCCAAGGGAAATGACAGGTAATAGAAGCATGCAGTCTTTTGCGACTCGTGTGCCCCGTGACCTTGCTGTGTGCCGCTTCGCCTGTCCCTGGTTTTCGCGCTCAGTGCAAGGTGTGCGTGTGGCGTCAGCAAACCCTCCTGCCACCTGTTAGTCTCTTGATTTCGACCTCTCGTGGGTCCGTAGCATAGTGGCTGTCGTGAGTGTGTTTGTGCTTCTGTGGTTCACCCTTTCTCCTTGTTTAGCTTTATGTTGAATGGTCAGATCAGCCTGCATTGTGACACACGAATGATTTTGTTCAGCGAAACAAAAGCTTCGGAAGCTAAGCCATCGATAAGTCAGACATGGTGGATACGAGAGAAGGCTTAATACTTGGTTTTCCTGAAAGTAATAAATTTGCAGAAATTTGACTTTCGAAAATCAGTATGATGTGGAGAGCGCATTTGTATTCTTAACCACATCTAAGCACAAAATTCAGGCTGAGTGGACCATTTAAGCTTTTTCTTTTACATTTGTAACTGTTTGAAGAGTGGCCCGATTTTCTGAATCTAATGAGCATGTCAATGGCTTGACGCGTCATCTGCAAAGTGCTGGCAGGGTCTAAATTTTGTGACAGCATGGTGTTTTGACGAGCACTGCTTCAGCTGTCTCATGAAAATTGTGTTCCTCTCGTGCATTGCAAATTTGAATAACCTCTAGATATACAAGTCTTTTGACTGGTTTAGCATTCCCTTCTAAAATAAGACCAAAGCTAGATGGCAGTTTTGAAATTGGGAAGGCAGTTGAATTGAATGCCACTGATCATAACACTTATTAATCCTGACGTCTAAATTTGACAAAGCTCTATCGCGACCCTACGCACAAGCCGCCAGGGCTTGGGAGATTGATTGATTGATTGAAGACGAACGTGTTAAGCTCATTAACGCCCGCGCTCCCCTCGACAGGTACTTTGCCGCGCTCTACATAGTCAAGAGTTCCCTGAAGTCGCTCAACCTGCGGAGCCTGAACAAGATCCGCTCTGGAAGCGTGGCCATCTTGGAGAACAAGGACCTCTGCTTCGCCGACAGCGTGGACTGGTACCAAGTGATGAAGTCGAGCGCCCACAACATCCTTCTCCAGAGGAACGCCAACCGGACAGACTGTGGTAGGCATCAATCTTACGCCCCGTCATTTTCATGCGGCGTTTTTTTTCAATCGAGTTGCGTCTGTGTCTCGCGTCTACGTCTTATCGTCAAATGTGTTTAAAATTGGACGGCGTCTTGATGGGACCACGTCTGCAACCACTTTGTGGATGCTTTTCAACCACGAGTGTGTGCGGCGTCGGTGTGTTTGTTCACAACCCGTTCTGCAAATTTCTTTTGCATGTTTTTTTTTTGTTTAAAATAACTACAAGCGTGCAGAATATCTATTACTGTCTTCCTGTTTTGTTTTTACACAAGTTGCGTTCACCATTTTATCGCCATTTTTTTTCCGTACGTCTAACGCCGCCGTTTTTCTCTCGCGCGATGCCCGTTTTACAGAGGCCCAGAATCTGGTCTGCCACTCGCAATGTTCGACGAGCGGTTGTTGGGGTCCGGCGCCGAATGAGTGCCTTTCATGCAAGTCGTATCGTCTGGAGGACACGTGCATCGAGAAGTGCGACACCTCCAAAGGGTACGTGACTGCTATGATGCTCCCGGCATTTCACGTAAATGTGCACCGTGCCACGCTTGTGTTGTGCACGACATGGTTTAAGCATGGCGTCTGTGCTTTCTCTGACTTTACTGACACACTTTATGACGCAAAATTTTACCACCTAGGTTAGTTTCGTGTGTGTGGACATCTCACCACGCTAGCATTCTAATTGTGCACTAGAAATGACCTATTTTTCGCGGGCTCAATGTTTCGCGATTTAGGTCAAGCTGAAGTTTTGGAATAATTCGCGGGTTCTAATTTTCGTGACGTGGTGGGATCTCAATATGGCGCCTATTTGTCGCAAATTGTAGGCGATTCACGAAATTCGCAAAAATTGGGTCCTTGCGAAAATTAAGTCATTTACGGTACTTATTTTCGTTTCTGGGCAAGAAAAAACAAAAACGAAAGGAATGGGAGATTGCTTGTTCACTCCAATTCTGTCACTCTATATACTTTGGCGCCACATGACGAACCTTATTTAATTATAATGCGCAAAGCGATGCATAGCTAGTCTTCACAATGTAAAATTACAGTTTTTAATATTTAAGTGTTTTTTCACAAGGGCTTCCACATTTAGACTATAAACCTGGTTTTATATTTGACGGCTTCATTGTGTGTGTTTGTTGTAAGCGGGGTTGCCCTAAGAGCATTGCAGCATGATTGCATTCCTTGTTTACCGCAGGATTTACGACAATGGGAACTACGTCTGTAAACACTGTCACGAGGAGTGCCTGGGAGAATGCTATGGCCCCGTAAGTAGTCCTCTTTTTTCATTGAATAACAAGCACCAAGTTGTTCAGTCGTTTCTCTTTTTTTTTTTTGTGTGTGTGAAATGAGACAACATGGTTTTAATGGTCTTGCATGGTTCTTGGTTTCTTTAGGGTGCCAACAACTGTACCCAGTGCCGCCATGTTCGGGACGGCCCCTACTGTGTCAGGGAGTGCCCGGACACAAAGTACAACCAGTCCGGGGAGTGCATGCCTTGCCACGAGAACTGCATTGGAGGGTACGTGCCTCACACCCCGTTTTCCGTTGGATGCATGGGTGCTAATTGCTGCACTCTTTAAAACGGGTGGTAGCGTGCGCCACCTAGCCTGCTTTACGGTGAACAACGATGTTTACCGTTTAGTTACAGTAAATATTGTTTTCCCAATAATAGAAAAAGTGTCAGCTTGCTAATTTTCATCTCAACTTTTAAGTCGAATTGGTTACATGGATGTCCGGACAGCATGGAGATAGTCTGCTATTGAATGATGCAACTTATAGTCTGCTATTAAGTGATGCAACTTGTCTCTCCACTGTTGGTGGGCTACTTAGTCTTCAGTGTTTTCTTCTCAGTTTTTTTCTTAAATGGCACACTTTTCTACGTGACCTCTGTCACTGCCTCATGCTGAAACGCATAGGGCCGGATGGACAGCATCTCTGATACCTAGAGAGAGCTGGTCAATGTTACGAGCGCATCTTGACTTCAACGTTTCGCTTTCTGTTGTTAGGTGCACCGGTCCGAACAACACTGTGGGGCCCGGGGCTTGCAATTCCTGCGAGAAGGCCATCGTCAGCGCCTACGATCCCAACGTCGTGGTGAGTTCTGCTTTCGTTGCCTCCCATAGTTCTTGCGTGCTCCGCAGCGACGCTTTGCCGACACGAGTGACGGGGCGCCCCTTTTAACTCCTTTTTCGACGTCTGCATTTTTCAGGAGCAGTGTCTGAAGGCAGAGGAACCTTGTCCCGAGAGTTTCTACCACGAATATTTCGGACCACAAGAGGAGGGAGCGCTCAAGTCACTCACCGGGAAATCGGTGAGCCACGGACTCGCGCTTTCGCCGGTGACCCGTTGGTCGGCTCGTTGTAATGCCATCAATTTCCTGGCCGAGTGACGTACAGATGCACAGGTCGCGTATATTCAGTTTTTTAAGAATATTGCCAGCCTTCTGCGAGGTGGCTTCATGGCTTCACTTTTGAGAAGGAGGCGAGGCACTGGAATAACAACGTTATGTTAACGCATATTTGTGCGACGACGGCGCTAATTGGTATGTGCCCCACGGGTGGTCTAACACAAAAGATAAGAGTGAATTTCACTCATTCATTCGTTGCACCGAGTTTGTTATGCACACATAAGAGGCTCGTAATTCGGATGTTAGAGGCTGGCTCGTCTTGCTGCCTCAAATGCGTATTGCAGACAGGGTTCGTAGTCGCCAAGCAGCGAACGGGATGTGCTTCGGTTGGTTGCAAGTTTGTGCGGCCGGTTCCAAAAAGGGCTACTCTGAGCAGGACGTGCCACCGAACAATTGGACGCTTTCGCTGCTTCCCGGTCTGGAAGGGCACTTTGAACGTTCACGCTCGAAATCTGGTCTGACGATTGCGGCCGTGGAGCGCCATAGAGTTGCCACAATTCCACGTAAGATGGCGCCACATGTTGAACCAACCTCTCTTGCTTGCTCGACGACAGCGACTTGTTGCGGTCGTGCGTTTGCAAAACGCGCCCTGCTGTTTTCATTCTGTCAGTCGCCGTGCGGAGAGCAAGTCATCTGCTTGCGCGGTGGTTGCAGCGACGTAAGCACGACTCCAAGCTCCACCTGGCTTTGCTCAAATGGACAGTGGGTAGACCTCGATGCTAGATGCCTCGAGGTCTACCCACTATTCTTTCCGATCGGCCAATAAGAGCTCGGCATTCTGACACCGTTGCAGCCCCCGTGCAAGAAGCAGACAAACTTGCGCTCCGCTTCCGCCGTCGAAACGCACACGCAACGCCACCGTTGCCCGTCGTCTCGCAGGTGTGCCGCAAGTGCCACCAGCGCTGCAAGAACTGCACAGCCTACTCGATCCACGTGTCTGTGTGCGAGTGCCTGCACTACAGCAGCGGGGAGCAGTGCGAGGACCGCTGCCAGCGGGACCACTTCCCGGACGAGGCAAACCGTCGCTGCCTGCGCTGCCACGACGAGTGCCGGGGCTGCACGGGCCCCACCGCCGCACACTGCACCCACTGCCGGAACTTCCGCATCTACGACTCGGAGAACCGCACCACGGTGGGAGCATCTCCCTTCTTCCGAACCCAATCTCTTATCTTGCCATGTTAATTTTGCATTGAATCTTTTAAGTTTCCCACGTTGGCTCCTGTGATGTTGTCGGTTGATTTATTATTGATCTGCCACTTTATGATTACATGTTCAATCTTCGTTATCTTGTCGTTCAGTATTATATACTTAAAAATTTTTGAATATAATGGCTTCTATCAGTTTTTGCCATTTTATATTCGCTCCAGCATGTGAGTGCATGTGAGTATATTGCAACTTGCCTGTAGATTGGCGTAACAACTAAGGTGATGATAATGATAGTAGCAACAACTACGATGACGCTGCAGTAACTGTGATTATGGCGTTAATAATGACCAATGATGACTGATGATTGTATTGTATAATAATGAGGGGGCTGGTAATGATCATAATAGTAATAAGAACTGTGATGACAGTAATAATAACTGATGACGATGAAGGTGATAATGATGACCGTGGTGAGGATGTTGACGATGGCAACAGCAACGACAATGATGAGGATGCTGGTGACGACAAATGATAATGGCTAGTTGCAGTGGGAGAAGTTCTAACAGGATCCCTATTACCTTCCTTTTTGGGTTTCAGTTCAACTGCACCGCAACCTGCCCGCCCGAGAAACCGTACAAGGTGTTTGACGACACGACGACCAAGGATCCACACTGCTCCGACGAAGACCCCAACCAGATGGCGCTGCACGGAAGAACGTGAGGATCCGACATTGTTAAAGCTAGAGGATACTTATCAAGAGGCCTTGACATAACCCTATCATCAATAAAACAATGTTTAACCATTATCCGACATTGTTTAAATTTTCCTAGACAGCAACGGGCAATCCATTCGGTGCGTCGCGTAACATACGTGATGGACCGTGGTTTCCGATGTGCATGGGTGGAGGCGTTCTAAATGCGTTGATTTAGAATGCCTCTGGGAAACGCCAAAGAGACGGTCAGTTTTTTTTTGCAATTGAGCGTGGTCTGCCTTTTTTCTTGTTTGTGTGAACTTGCTGTGACCCCAGAAAACTTCCTCTCACGTTTCAGGGAAGAGGACCACCTGCCTGCCATTCTCGCCAGCGCCGGTGGCTGCATTCTGCTCCTGGGCGTCTTCCTCGCCGTCTTCAGCTACCACTGGGTTCAGCGAGCCAAGACGAAAGAGAACACGATGAAGATGACCATGGTGGGCTTCTATTCCTTCTTACATTCACCAACGGCTTTAAAACACGCAGAGCGTCAAGCTTCTTGCTTTGTGATTCATTCTTCTGCGTCCTTATCAGCTCTGCCGCACTCCCGTTGGTAGGGGAACCGGGCTCGAGCCATAACCTGCATTTTTCAAGTTGTCAGTGACGATTGTTCTGACGGCGTAGTATGTAAGATAACTTGAAGAAACTGTTTTGTCACCACTGTTTGCCAACTGCAAAAGGAGTTTAAAGGGTCACCTGCCTCACGACCGCTGCCTTTGTCTGTCGTGTGTGTGGTTTTTTCTACCTTTGTAGTTTAAGAGGGTATGGGTAAAGCCCTGCATATCCGCGGATTATCCGCCGATATCCGCGAATATCAGCAGTAAACTGGCGAATGCGAATAAAAATTAGACAAATTAGGGCGGATTGCGGATCGGATGCAGATATCAGGGGATGCGGAGGCGGATATACGCAAATCCGGATCTAAATTTTTGCCCGGTGGCATTCGGTTTGTCGACTAAAGTTTCATCTACAGATCGTTTTGTCGACATGCGACGTTTGATCGAAAGGCTTCCCCGTGTTCGTTTCATAGAAAAACTTGAGACGTTTAGTCGCACACAACCCTGCTATTTTCGCAACAAACTTTTGCATCTCGCCTGGATTACAAGGGGGAGGGGGACATGGTTTGGTTAAGCACGCCTTAGTGAATCATGCGCTAGCTTTTAGCAGCTTAGTGAAGAAATGCGTTGTCAACAAAACGTCGCAGGGGCATGTGCCCCCAAAACGTACAGCGTCGACGAACTGTGTGTCCATGAAATGTATGTCCATGAAAAGTTGTCTACGAAACATACTTCCACAAAATGTGTTTCAAAGAAACGATAGAGATCCTAAGAAAGATCAGATTCGCATTGAAGATCGCTTCAGTTAGTGTGTTTCATCTCGTCAAAAATGCTATCTACAGAAAAAGTAAAGAATGCAGGACATCAATTGTCCCGAGAAAGCTAGTACATCGGCAGGGAAAGAGCAGAAAACTTTCTCCGGGCATAGAAAACCTCAAACGTACAAGTCACAAGAAAGTAGAAGAAACCTCCCCCTCTCCACAAACTGTAGTGTGGACATAATTCCCAAAACAAAAGAAATGCCTCGACAGCGAGCGTGACCATGTGGCGCCACGGTTTGCGAAGTTTCGGAATCAACAGTGCACGCACATAGGCAGCCCGTAAACTGCCTGTGTGTTTCTTTTTTATATGCTTAAGAGTCCTAGCCCAAAAGTCTGGTAGTTCATATCCGTCCAACCACGACGCCAGGGCGTCGTAGCCAAACAAATATGAACCTCTCTTAGTTTTTAATTGTTTGACGGAACTAAAATGTCATAACTTAGAATGCCCTTTTTTAACTTTTATGTTTCAAAAGTATGCGTCTGCATAAAATATGTGTTCCAGTCTAAGCTCGTTATAACAGACCTTGGTTTTGACCAAGTTTTTGGTCTGTTGTGAAAAGAATATGTTGTATGCAAATATGAAGTTGAGTCAATGGCGCATAGAGGAAAACCAACCGAACTTCACAAGTCGGTATGTTATATCCAAATGTCTGTTGTAACCAGGTCTGTTATAATGAGCGTAAACTGTTCAAAGCAAAAAAAAAAAAAAAAATGTATATACATATATTTCTTTTTGGTGCAGTTCTGGACAGAATGCCGTGGACTCGTAGGACAATCACACAACTGAGATCATTTTTCCTTTGACGCGCATTGTCTCGGGAAGGCTGATAACTTTTAATATAAATATGATGAAACTGATAATGATAAAATGTCATCCCTTTTGAGTGGTGACCCAAAGATTTCTTTGTACAAAGATAAGCAAACAGCCTAAAAAAAGCTATTCATATTTTTTTTTTCATTCACGCTTGATGTTATGATACACAATGATTGCCTAGATTGTGAGTTGGATATGGTTCCACATTTTGCACATGCAGTTCGAATATGGATATAAAGTATGCGGATGTGGATCGAATACGGATACAATAATGTAAAAAGTTTGCGGATGCAGTATGGATGCAGATACAAAGTCTGCGGATGCGGATCGGATGTGGATAACCAAACTGTTATCCACGCAGGGCTTTAGATATATCCTATTCAGACAGTAAAAAAAAACCTTTTTTTGGGGGGAAAAATGTTTATTAGTTACTGGACTATTGATCCTATTGATACTGTTTTTATTGGCAATCTTTGTTGTGTCATCCATGTGTGATCTGACTTTCCTCTTTCTCTGCCTCTTTCCTCTTTTCTCTTCTCTCTCTCCCTCTCTCTCTGTCTCAAGAATTCGTAAGTGAATTTTCAACTTTCAATTTGTTCTGTTTGTCGAAGCACTCCGCATTGCCTTTCGAATTGTTCATAACTTCAGCTTGGCATTTTCGTGCCTGTTCCGTGAAACCGCTCTTTGAGAAATTACTCCTGTCGTCAACAAGTCGTAGTAGATGGAAAGTAATGTTACAATGGAGAACAAACTCGTAGAAGCACAAATTAAATGTTAGCATGCACATGTTTGAAACTTAGTTTCTATATTTAAAATGTTGAGCATTATTTTTTTGTGTTCAAGGTCAAACTCTAGTATACAGTGCAACCCGCTTATAACGAAAATGGAAAAACCCAAAATTTCAATCGTTATGACCGATTATCGTATCTGGACTAGAAACTGATCATCTCCAGTCTAGAAACTCTAGAAACTGATCGTTATAAGCAGTACATTGTTATATGTGGTATCGTAATGAGTCGGTTGCACTATAATTGGTGGACATCGCTGGTGGGACTAGAAAGGCAAAGGCTCAACTTTTAGTATCCTGATGTAATGTAATGGGAAACTTAAATGCAGTGTAATAATTTTTGTGCTTTAACCAAATATCATAAATGCAATAGATATGTCTTAATGCAATGTTAACTGCGCTTCAACAAGAGCAACTTTGGAAGTTCGCAAACTTCGCAAACATTAGAGCTTGTGAATCTTAGTGACCACTGCATGTCTTCTTCACACCATTAACATTATTTTTTTTTTCTCAACTGCAGCGCATGAGTGGATTCGAAGACAACGAACCCTTGAAACCGACGGACATCAAGCCGAACCTGGCTCAACTTCGGATCGTGAAGGAGGCGGAGCTTCGCAAAGGCGGAATTCTCGGCTACGGAGCGTTTGGAACAGTCTACAAGGTGGGCAGCTTTTGCCGATTTGTGACCACTAGATCTGATCGTCTCCACGAAATTGCACTTCTTTCAAGAACTATTTAATGATAACAATACTAATATTAATAACCATATTTCTCAACTAGGGTGTCTGGGTGCCCGAGGGAGAGAACGTCAGGATACCGGTGGCCATTAAAGTCCTGCGAGAGGGCACTGCTCCGAACACCAACAAGGAGTTTCTGGAGGTGAGTCAGCAAATTCCCTCCGCTATGTTTGTCGGTGGAAAGAATGGCGGGTGAAACTGGATAGCGCCATGTTAGATGGAGTTGTACGAGGCTAGGCAATGCATCTTCTACTACAGACTAACTAATCCTAGGAGCAGAAAGATAGGATAAAACTTTGCCCTTGCATTACTCACATCTGAGCAGTCGATCTGCTGAGTCTGATCACCCCCATGCCAGTTAGCCAATTGAAGATAATGTGGCAGACGACTGCACTCCTATTGCTGCTTTCAGCAGTAAAGTGGATGGAAATGTTATGGCTTGAATGCTCTTCAGCGTTCAGTGGCTAAAGTCCTGCAACCTTCTTTGGAGTTCAGTGGCTAATGCCCCACAATCTTCTCTAGCATTCAGCAGCTAATGTTCCACTCTCTGCTTCAGCATTCTGTGGCTACATCTTCTTTGGCATTCAGCGGCCGATGTTCCCCAATCTTCTTCAGCGTTCCACAGCTAAAGTTTCGCCCCCTTCTTCAGCATTCAGCGGCTGATATGTAATCTGCTTTGTAGGAGGCATACATCATGGCGAGTGTGGACCACCCGAACGTGCTGAAGCTGCTGGCGGTGTGCCTGACGTCGCAGCTGATGCTGGTGACGCAGCTGATGCCGCTGGGCTGCCTCCTCGACTACGTCCGCAACAACAAGGACAAGATAGGCTCCAAGCCTCTCCTCAACTGGTGCACTCAGATAGCCAGGGTGAGCTTGGCTTACATGTGCAGATATTCCTACCTAGCATGTCGTTCCTGATTGTCATAGTTTGTGCCTTCGAAAAATACCTGAAACTCACGTGCAAAATTCGCAAAATATCGAGAATGTGAAAATGAGGTCGTTTACAGTACTTGGTAACTTCATCCTAATAGTTACTTGGCTAATCAAGCAGTTCATTGAATAGTTATTCATCCATTAATTTTTCTGAACGATCCAAACATCTCCCACACTGTATAAATGCCTTGTTCTTCTGTTGGTCAAGGTATTTTTTGGTGGCCTCAATTACTCGGTAACCCAGCAAAGCAGTGAACTATACTTCGTTTCACCTTATCTGCGAGCGAAGCCAAAGCTAGAAGCGCGAGACCAGCGGTTTTTGCGTTTCTCCCCAGCTCGCGCGCTCGAGCAAAGCCTGAATGCGCAGAGCTTTCGTGCTCGCGCTTCCAGCTTTGCCTTCGCTCGCACATAAGGTGAAACGAAGTATAGCCGATCCAGGAAATTAATCTTTCGTACCTACTGCACTATCACTTTCGTTTTAAAAGTGATTAGCATGTCTCAATTCATTGCTTAAGTTAGGGAAGTAAATAAATTAAGCAATACTGTATCGGTTTTTATGGTATCATTGTTAATCAATGCCATCTTGATGCCCAAAACCTCGAACTCTCTTGCCTTTTCTAGGGAATGGCCTACTTAGAAGAGAAACGCATGGTGCACAGAGACCTGGCTCTCCGCAACGTGCTCCGTAAGTATCTCGTGATGCCCAGTAAACAAGTGCAAAGCTCGTGAAACTTTTCACTCATCATGCTTCACATCTTCACGCAGTGCAAACTCCGGGTTGCGTCAAAATCACCGACTTTGGTCTCGCCAAGCTTCTCGACAACAACGAGTTTGAATACAAGGCGGCTGGCGGCAAGGTACATTCTATTGTGATTTGAAACGCTTATTCGTCAAGCCATCGACTCCTGTAAACACTGGGGGTTAGGGTCACCTGCTAGTCACCGAAATGGATATCTGTTGTGAAGAGATAATCTTTTTCTTGTTTCTTCGGTTGTCTATTTGGATAGAAAAGGAATGTGAACCTAATAAATGTGCAGTTTGTAAAAACGACTAGGGCATTTAAACATAAATCGACATCTCCACGCTTCATAAAGCACGAGTTTCGCTCCATGTCCTAAAGCAGGGATTCCATGTATATAAACATGGAGTGTTTGCTGTTATTGAACTTTGAACTTAGTATCTGTTAAGCCAAAGTAAAAAAAAATGTTATTTCATCGTCTCTTTTTTGTAGTGTAGTGATCTTGTATGGCCGTAGCTGTTAATGTGAGCTTATGGCTATGTCCGGAATAGTACTAGTCAGTACTGTAGAGGGCATATGGTTGCAAGATTTTGTTCATTTCCTGGTGAAGTTATTGAATTGTGTGTGCCCCTTTCTTTCCAGATGCCCATCAAGTGGCTTGCTCTTGAGTGCATCCAACACCGCATTTTCACCCACAAGAGTGATGTCTGGGCTTTTGGTGAGTTGCCCTTGTTGTTTTACATTGCACAAGTGAGGTGAATTGCTAAAAAAGGCCATCTTGAGAGACAAAAGCAACTTTTATTTTAATTAATAAAGGGGCAAATTAGCTGTGTTCTTCCATTGCATTCTGTGGCCACTTTAGGCAGCATAATTTTCCCACAAATGATATAAGTGTGTCATAAGGGAAGCTTGTTTTAAAAGGGAAGTTTGTTATAAGGGAAGTTGGCTATAACAGAAGTTTGTTATACCAGATGTATTTTTTTTATCAGAGAACTGGGTTTAAAGGGATTTTGTTTTAAGGGAAGTTTGTTATAGCAGAAGTTTCTTATAAAGGATGTTGGTTATAAGTGAAGTTTGTTTTGAGGTGAGTTTGTTATAGAGGAAGTTTGTTATAAGGGAAGTTTGTTATAGCGGAAGTTTCTTATAAGGGAGTTTATAAGTGAAGTTTGTTCTAAGGGAAATTTGTTATAGAGGAAGTTTGTTATAAGGGAAGTTTGTTACAAGTAGGCTTCACAGTAGTTGGCATTATCATGATATAGTTCTGAGTCGAATATTTAAGAGGCGCAAAGCGAAGAAGGGTTGGAAAATCAATTTTAATTTGGATGTGTGCTGCAGGTGTGACTGTCTGGGAGCTGCTGACGTACGGAATGCGTCCCTACGAGAACGTCTCGGCTCGTGACGTCCCTGATCTGCTGGAGAAGGGAGAGCGGCTCAACCAGCCCTCCATCTGCACAATCGACGTCTACATGATCATGATCAAGTGTGAGTGCTCCTGCCATTTGCGACGTCACGATCGTATTGCAATTTGTGATATTGAGACAGGAGTTGTTGGGGCTTGTGGACGACCATTGGTGGGAGCAAGGCAGCCGAAGGCTTGACCCAGGGTCAGTCTAGCACGATGCACAACATATTGAACTATCTATTATAAGAAAAACAAGTTTGCAGAAGCAGCCACTGGTTCAGCGTTCTGAGAGAATAGGCAGAAATCATTTTCAAGGTTTGAACGCCTTGTCTGGACACTTTCTTTTCATTTGCACGCGTCAGAAATGACTGATCAGAGGATTGCAATCAGGGGATTACAGTTATTTTGAAACATAAAGCAATCAATTGAATTTACTGTATTTTAAAATGAATTTTGAGATCCAAACAAGTTATACTTCAGTATTTCAGAACATTTAGACATAGAAACAAAGAAGCAAACACAGGGCAATGCTTGTTTGATCTCTTAACCAAAGGGTCTTGTAATATCATTCAAATGAAGTATTGTTACACATTAAGAAATAATGAAGTGGTCAATCGCACCATTAAGTTGTACTCATTAAGCTTTTATGTTGGAATTTTTGTTTAAGCTTAGAGTTATCACCATTAAGCCGTTCTCACAATCACACCAATAAACTGTTTTCGTTGAACTACACAAACAAAAGCATATTTTTCACGTGAAATGAATCAGTCAGATGGGATAACCGCCAAGCGGTGAGAAAAGTTGAAACAGTTGCTCACGAGTTTGTGTACATCCAAAAGATTAGGGCACTGCCTGCATGATGAATCGAACAATTGAAAGTAAAAAGGAAAAAGCTTGTTCATGCTGGCAAAGACTGCTAAGCACAGAATCTGTGTTAGGCCTTCCGGAGAAAAAGAGAAGAGCATCTGAATGGCCGCTACAGCCGGCTTTTACAGTCAAACGTTGCAGGACCCTATGAAAATCGGCCGATCAAAACACACTCTGCATTAAAATTGATGTTCCGCATGAGAGGTAAGAGGAGGAGAAAGAAACACCGCGTTTGGGGGGCCGACGAAATGCAGTACGCAAAGACTTCCGCGATAACGTCCCCGCGAGTGCGCCTGACGTCCTCTTTCTCGCCCGCTCCAGGCTGGATGCTGGACGCGGGCTCGCGGCCCTCGTTCAAGGAGCTGGCAGAGGAGTTTGCCAAGATGGCGCGGGATCCCGGGCGCTACCTGGTGGTCTCCGGGGACAAGTTGATGCGGCTGCCCAGCTACACCCCGCAGGACGAGAAGGAGCTCATCCGCAACCTCAGCATGCCCATGGAGGGCCCCGAGGTCATCATGGACGCGGAGGAGTACCTCCAGCCCACCAGGGCACAGCTGCCCTTGGCCATGGCTCCCGTCGACCAGGCCCCGCCGCCCACCCCCATCAAGGTTGGTGACCCGTCTTCCATAATGCTGATAATAATAGTAATAATCTTCATTTTACGGGCTAAATCGAGGAAGATGACATTAAAGGCTCTGGAGAGATAGCCCACCTAAAATCGAGATCAAATTAGGCGAAATTAAGGGTTGGGCCAACTTTTGGTGTACAGCCGAGAAAAGTTTAAAATACTACTACGTTTAGATCACGTTTTTCAGTCAAACTTGTTATCATGGCAAGGGACAATGAAGCAAAGATGACCGTACTTCCTAGTCTGCAATGTTCGCTTATATCCTGCAGTAGCCAACTAGCCGAATTTACGCCGAGGTCATCATTGATCCAAACACTATGATTGCCAGGGGTGGGCCATCTTTTGGTGTTTAGCAAATCTAGCCAAAAATAGAGGTGGGTTACCTTTCGGGCGTGGGATATTACGGTAGTCACTGGTATGCCTCAAAATTGATTCAACATATTAATAGGTGTATCTGAACTAGTAACCAAAATTACGAGCCGCAATGATAATTTTTCTTGACACTGTTGAATTTTGAAATTCGGTCCGAGAGGTGGGGAAGGGCTCTACTGGCAACTCTGAAAATGTGACGTCAAATGTTGTGATTTGGAACTTAGAGATAATAAATATTCTGCTGGAAAGAGTAAAACCCATGGCTATTCTGAAAATGGGTTTAGTTTTTGGTTGTGGCTGTTGCGAAATGTGTGGTTTCTTTAACCATGGCATGAGTTTGCATCATTAAATGTTTATTTCCAGTCTCAACCCACTGAGGAAGGCAAACGTTTTAGCGGTTAGCCTCATTTGTGTCAAATTTGCAGGGCATATTCATAGCTGGGAAAAAGAATCGGATGCAAAGTTTCATGTTCACAAGTTTATCCTTCAAAGGGTTATGTAAAAGTATGTTAAATGAACACTGTGGCCACTGAGAAAGACTATCGTTTAGAAAGGGTAACAATAATGGCCAGTTCTATTGGTGAAACATGCAGTATAACACTCGTGTCATGTGGCTATGGAGAGAAATTGCTGAAATTGTACCAGTTTTAATAGAAATTAAAATTGTAAAAAACATTTTTTACAATCTTTTATGTGTTATGTTGAAGATACTGCAGCTTCTCATGACAAAAAAGACCATGAAAATGCAGAAAGTAAGCTCACAGCACCATTGCTCACAAAATTTCGGTACAGAAACTTAATAAGCTGCTTGCACACATCAATTTATTATTTAGGAATAGTTTTCCTGAACCGAGATTTGATGCCAAAAAGTGAAACCGAGCTAAACGCGTTTGAAAGCACAGAAAGCTTCACTTTAGATGGTGCCGGCATGTCGGAAATAATTTATTTCGGAAAAAAATTCTTACAGGAATGAAACCTTCCGAAAGCGGCAATCAAAATATTTGAAAGCTGGTAAAATTGCTTAATAAAAAAGACTTTACAAAAGAAAAATATTAAGGTGGTGTGTTTTTTTAAGGACTGAGATCTCATCTTGGAGGGAAATGTGATAGAATGGCACGGAGATGGTTACAAAATGTGTAACAGATACTTCAGACTTCAGAGGACAATCCGCACAAAAAAGTGGTAGAGTGAGAAAAAAGAACGAAATTCTGAGTGTGCCCCAACGGGAATCAAATCTATGACCTTAATGATTTTAAGCTTGGCCTTCAATCACTGCACCAATTAGTTGGCAGACGGAAAGCTAGCTGGGCTTGCTTCCATCACGGTGGAGTTTACCAACTGCTAGAAAACGTGCACGCCAATCGCTGGACGCTGGCGTCCAGCGTTCATGGCATTCGGCGTCTGCATTTGAACGGTTTACAGAATGAAACTCGAACTCCATGACATGTTATAGCCAATAAAATTAAGAAAAATTGCAATGACCATCACAGGCCCCAAAGAACGCCGCGGAAATGCCTTCCATGTTTGCCGCCTCCACCCATAGGACCAAGATAAATCGAGCGTTTCTTTACTTTACAATTCGTTCACCATTTTCCATCTGCAACACTATCGACACGAAAAGTGTTTTTGAGCTTCCGAGGAGAAGGAAAGACATTTTGCCGACCCTGTCGTCATCGTCTTCGTCGCAGAAATTCATGGACGACCGTGGGTTCGAAGAGGACCCCAGCGTGGGCTTGCCCAACCCCGCCGAGTTCTTCCCATCGGGGATGATGGTGGGGGCGGTGCACCCGGAGACGATGAATGGCGGCTGCCACGGCAACCACGCCCGCGGCCGGGAGAACAGCCTGAACCAGCGCTACTGCTCCGACCCACTCAAGCTACTGGGAAAGGACGCCGGTGAGGCATCGCAGAAACTCTGCTGTTCTTGAAGGAGGGGGGGGGAAGAGAGAGATAGAGAGAGAGTGTTATGGCTTGCACGCCGAAATTACCCTAGAAGATAGGTGCAACCTTAAGGTGGCGACGTTGGTAAGGAGAGTGTCCGTGCAAGTGCACTTCTAGCGGATAGAGGTCAGTGTGCCCATCTCTACTCCTAGCGTTTACTCCTTTACTGTCAAAGCTAGGAGTAAACTCAGGGTTAACTCCTTTACTGTCAAAGCCCTATTTATTTATTTATTTATGGCCCTATAATAAATGAAATGCAGTTTTTTCGCTAAATTTAGTGGGTAAACTGGATTGCTGACAGGTCACGTGACATCAATTTGTCTGCCAAATGTTTGCGGGGAAACTTAGGGGTCTCGCGAGCAAGCCACGTGACAATAATTATCCCGCTAAACTTGGTGGGAAACTGATTTGGTGTATAGGTCTCGTAACGTCAAGTCACGTGACATAAATTTCCTCGCTAAGTTCAGTGGGGAAACTAAATCGGTGCTTAGGTCACGCGACACGAATTTCCCAACTAAATTTAGTGGGAAATGCACGGCGCATTGTCTAATGACTATACACGCATTTTTGCGTCGCAGAGGAAGGCGACGACGACGCATTCCTGCACAACGCGGCAACACTGCCCAAGGGCGCCAAGCCAGGCGACATGAGGATGTCGCTGCCGGTAGACGAGGACGACTACCTCATGCCCTCACCAAGATCCCGGGGACTTTCCACCACCTACATGGACCTCATTGGCGACAACCGTTACTCCAACGGTGCGCCGGTTTTTGTTGTTTCCTTGGCCCGCTCGTTGGCGAAGGCGCCGAATGTCCGTCCATAATTGTAGCTTAGCTTAGGGTAGCGACCACACTGAGCTGAAAAAGAGAATATGGTTTTCTTGGTGTTGATGTGTCTGGATTCTGGAGAATACATTCATTTGTGCTCTCTGTAAAAGAGAGAAGGTTGTGCTTCCAAACGAGAATATTCGATTAGGCTGTGCTTCTCGGTAAATACTATGGTCGTCTGTAATTAATGATAATTGCACGGCTCGGATTGTAGCACTAGTCGTCGGAATAAGCGACAGCTGTAAACCGGAACACCTTTCTAATTTTTTCGTTAAGGTCTGTTCCCAGATGCACCACAGTGCTACCTCAGTGCTAGTGGTCAGCACTGGGAATAGCACTGACCCAGCTTGTGCAGTGCTGACTGTGCTATATTAGTGATACGGCGCTCATACAGTGCTGCATTAATCCTAAGTTATGTTCAAGTCAATGCTATATCAGCATTGGTCCTAGCGTTGATTTCAGTATTGCGCACGTGGGATTTGGTGTTGGACGTTGCCAATGCATCTTTTGTGAGTGGACTGGGTATAACCATAACTAACATCTAGTGTCAAAGCCGGGCAACTTTTGTGAAAGTTTTGTTGCCGCGGTTTCTTCGGTCAGGATGTGTTCCAAAATTAGAATCCCTCTTTCCGTCGCAGGTTCGGACCAGCTAGACCACTGCAGACCGCAGGACTACAACCACTTTATTCCGGACTTCGTGCCGCAGAGCAATGGCCAGTTGCATGGCGTGGACAATATAGAGTACCACTTGATGAACCGCACGCCAGGGGGTGCCCCGAACCACGACCCCCCGCGCGACCCCAGACACCACTACGTCAACACGTGCCCGCTGGGATCGCCACTGGGCTCGCCGACGGTTGTCCAACCACCACTGCCGCAGCCGCAGCCACAGCCGGGAGGAGTCGCGACCCGGAAACAGAACAGTTCCGACGAGGACACCGACGACCACGAGTATTACAACGACTACGATCGGCTCAAGAGGGAGCTTCAGCCGTTGAACCATCGTAGCCGAAGTGAGACGACGGTCTAGTAATCCCGGTTTGGAAGAAGTCTAGTTTTGTGTCAAGGCGTCGGTGCACACAACCCCGGGTGCGACGGACTCGCCCATGCGGCGATGCGGGAAAATTGTTGGGGCGCCAGATATGCGGACGGTGGAAGGAAGCGATTGCTTGGATTGCGACGGCTGCGGGAGTGGCTTAAGACAGAATCGCAGGAATCCGGTCGCAACCTATCGGCGAATTAAATGCTCGGCGACGATCGGCCTCGCCGGCTTACGAGGTACACGTCGAAATGCGTGCCGACTACCGAATTAGCTTGGCCTCAGCGCGCCACCCGGTAGCCAGCGCCGAAGGAGAACAGACGAATTCGCTGATCATCGCTTTAGTCTAGTTGCTAGCTCGACTCGAGAAGCAGTGCCCGAAATGGGAGTCCCAGAGGGAAAAGAGGATTGTTTCAATCTAAGCAGCTGGAACTCTGCACGAATCAAGTACAAGCAGCGGTCACACCCCAAACACCTTCGCTTCGAGCCAACTTGCCACATCATCCCCCACCTAGAACCCGGTCTCAAATGGTGAATGTCGGCGACGCGTCGGGGTGGACAGACAGTCGGGGTGGACTCGGGAAACTCTGGCTCAGGAGTGCCGATCTTTGGACATTGGCCCCGGAATACCCGGCCCGGCGAAGTGCCGATCTCTTGTCCCCGGCTCGAAAAAATCCGGCCCGGCAAAGTGCCCGTCGTTCGTCGTGGGGTCCAGAATGTCCGGCCCAGGAAAGTGCCGAAGTTTCGGCACGGGAGCGAGCTCCTTGAAAGTGCTTTGTTGATGGACTTCCTCGTTGGGGGGCCTGAAGCGTGGTTCAGGCATTATTTATTATCGCTGAACACCATAGGAAGGACTGTGTTGGACTGAAGCGAGACGACTCTGAGCCTTTCTCGGAGAATGTGGTCTGCTCCCTGAAAGCAGAAGTGTTCAGTGGTGTAAATAGTATACATAGGTGCTTGGTATATGCAGCAGTGTGAATAATGTGCCCGGATATGTTGCCAGCCTTAAAACGGCGAGCGTGCTTCGCTCGATTTTAAGTTGTGCAGGGTCGTCCCGTGTTCAATCTTGCCCTCTTACTCTGCCTTACACTTTTTGCGGTTTTTGTGCCTGCATGGCACATTTTTTGTGGGTTGTGCTTTTTAACTGGCTCGATTATTTTCATGCCTTTTCTCGGTCAGCTTCTCAGTATTAAGACTCTTGCGTGCGTGCCATATAATGATGCAGTGGATACTGCGAATTGAGGACATGTTGGAAACTGCTGAGACGACGGAATGATTCATGTTTTGCTCATAATGAAGTTACATGACCCAGTGAAAAGCTTCAACATTGAGCGAAGAAATAGGTATTGAAAGACTCTTTTCTTTGCAATATATAGAATAAATTATGCTGCGAGCGATCATTTCTTTAAAATATTTTGAAGGTGGCATCTATTTTGTTCATTTCGTTTATTTTGATTATTTTAAGACAATAGAAATTGGGCAATGAAAGTAGCATAGACAAGGTTTTAAGTTGTAGTGCTATATTTGATACGCTTTAGTGGTATGTTAGTGATATTTGATGCCCTTTTGTTAGTTTACACCATTTAAATTCAGCAAACCTGAAAAAGATATTGGAGTAAAAGCAGTGTTGCTTTTCAGTTTGAGCTGGTACTGTAAGAAGTTTGCTTTTGTGTGCTGATGCTTCAGATATTACTTGCCAGCTAGAGAAAAAAGTGGTGGTGATTGTGCCATAGGCAAACAGTTTTGACCAAGTTCACATATTTTTCCTTAATTGTGGTTGGGATCGTCCAAAGTGTGTTTTGCCTTGAAGGGCCTCTGAGAACAAACTCAAGCTAACAGTTCTGCTTGATTCACTCAAGTGGTTGTGATGGTGATTGCATTTCCCTCAAAAAACGATGCTCAGACTGACACTATTTTTAACAATGATCGAGGTTGATGAAAAAGAAGTGACTGCAGCTGCTGCATATCAAGAAAGAACTGACCGATTCTCGATGATGAAGCACTTTTTCGAATTTAATTTATTTTTTAGATTTGTTGCCTAGAGTAGGAGACTCAAATGAAAGCGTCAAGTCTTTGGTTGTTGCAATACTGCATACCGCATATCTATTTTTATAGACCCTCTCATGCCTGTACATACTTCCGATGCATTGTTCACACATTCTGCAGTCTTTTACTCGAGCATAGTCCTTTTTTTCCTCTGTCATAAAGCATGATTACCTAGGTGCATATAACAGCATCATGTATCTATTGTACAAAATACATTGTCTCTACACTATCTACATTTTACACCTTTTTTCTCTCGAGTCTACGTGCTTGTGCCCCGATTTTTACTGAGAGCAATTTGTTGAAGCGTGTCCGTATGACAAATATGCCTTTACTACAAATGAGAAATCATTTTCTTTTTTAAAGAGATGTATTGCTTTACGGTACATTAATAAAACTACTGGACTGAACTGGTTTCTCTTTCTGCTTGCGAGCGTGCATAGCTTCGGCGCTGTAGAGTCTAGGCTCGTCGAACACAGTTGGAACTGAAAGTTTGCGGTGCCTTTCGACGCATTGCCTGGACAGGAGGACCACCCACCACCCAAACGCTGATGCGGCGTTCTTGTTCATTACGTGTCTGCCCTCAATCTCTCTCTGTCGGCATCGAAATGCCAGTGCAGAGGCTTTGATCGTTCTGGGTGGTGTTGAGGGCCCTAGGAGTGCCCCTCCATGCTGGATACGGCAGAGCGAGGGTCTCCTAGTCGGGAGAAGGCAACTTTATCATTGTGTCAACCGTGTGCGTCCATGCCGTGGTGGTCACTCTGCACCCCGTCGCGTTGTCGTTGCCACTTGGCCGGCTGGATGCATGGGTGGGAGGTGGGTGCTAACGGGCTGTATTCTTCATATTGAGTGGTAGCTTGCATCAGCTAGCCTAGATACTGAAAAACCAAAAGTATGATGCTGCCTCTCCTCGCCCTTCTAAGCCAATTTGCTTCCCCTCTGCAATTTTTCGTAATTATCGCCACGCGGTTTTGGATATCGCCAAAATGGGAGGCACTCACTTGATCGAATGACGTTTTAGCCAACGCCCACGTTTCATCGAACGACACTTAAGCGAATAGTCGGACGCCGCGAAGCGGCGTTTTCGGGTGGGCCAAGTGAGTTCATATTATTGTAATGAGCTGCCGCAGACTCGTCGCAAAGCGGCGTAAAGCGCAGCGCGACGGATGGGTTAACGCGCGCCCCCGTTATTCGCTAAAACGTCCATTCGCTCAAATGTCGCCGTTCGCCAAAATGTCATTCGCTCTTGTGATTTTTGATATTTAGAAAACTACGTAGCCCTCTTCAGTATCATATTGGAAGACCCCATGTCAAATATTACGATCTAATTCCGTCTATATATTTAATAAACTGGCCAGCAAACCTTCAAGCGAGTCAAGTCGCCGAAATCTGCCAACTCTAGCGTGCGACGCGAGGCGCAATCGTCAGCGCAGTCAATGCGACGGAGTTGGAGCGGCCAACGTTGAGCCACTACGTCAGAGGCGTGACTACGTCATTCTCACGTTCTGTTTGTTTCTACTTCTCAAAGCGAAATTGAACGATGACGTCATGAGTTTCTCCTCCCGGTGTTGGCTGACCGGGCGTTCACGTGATCACCGTAACGCGGATGCGCTAGTTTGCGCTGCCCTGTGGGCTTATCGGTCTGTTTCTCCGCTCCCCTTCTCTTTCGTCTTCTCCCCTTCCCCCTCTCCCCCGAGGCATCACCGTCCACGCAACGCCACGCGAAGCGACCTGCACTGTTGCCTGCACGTGTCGCGTGTCCTGTCCCTCGCCCCCCTCCCGAACGTCACAAGACCACGTGGTTCAACATGACGTGACCATGACTCTGACCACACGAGACCAATGTTGCCTGACGCAACTGAAGTTTCGGTTTCGGTATCAGCTGATGTTTAAATTAGGATTACACAAATAATATTCCACATTACGCGAATCCGTAGACGTAGAGTTGTTTAGTAGTGCTTTGTGAAATGGAATCACATGTAAGCCTAAATTGTTCGGAATGGACTTCTTCCAAAACCGACGCGCCCCAATGCGGCGAAATACCACGCAATGCACGCTGGGAACTAGTTGGCCACTTAGTTTCGGTTTCGAGTGAGCAGGTTCATCTCATGTTATCACACCGCGACCGAACGCGCTGATTGCGTTTTCGATTATCTGACTTTTTACGAATGCACAATACACTCATTCTCGAGCGATAGAAAACGAAGACCGGGGCACTTTCCTTGGTTCCCTAAACACCGGATATTGTGCGTGCGTATGCAAACGTAGTAAGACGTGGCTTAGTCACCTCACCCCACGAGTGCATCTTTGAGCTCAATGTCAGTAATCCCGTCTAGTACCAGTTAACTACAACTGAAATTTCGTCACCTTGAGCCCTATACACGTATTTTGCTTGCCAAACGTCCGCCTCTTGTTACTTCGTTGGGCGAAAAGCAAGCCGCATCTCACAGAATTATCACAGTTGAGCCCAGCGTTGGAGCATGAACTTTTAAGGAAACGCAATAAATTCGACCTCACTGCTGCACAAAAGTTACTATGATGTCTTCCTCGTGTCATCACATGTCTCACATTCAAATTTTATGCTGATAAAATATTAAGTTTTCGCAAACACTGAGATCGGCTTGCTACGACGGAGGCCCTAACAAGCGTCCCCTGCTCCTCGCTAAGCCTTTTTGGACGAGGTTTCCCTGTCGCCCTGTTGTTCTGTGCCTGAACGGTGTGTCTGAAATTATCTTGGCATACTCAGTCAGGAACAAAGCAAACTCATAACAAATATTATAGCCATTAGCAACCGTCAAATGCGCTTTGAATAATTTCGTTCGTCTGGCGCACCGCATAAAAGTTCATGCCCGTCCGGCGCACTTCCGGCGAACGGTGCGACATTCTACAGACAAGTGCTCGACTTTTGCTTTCTTAAAACGGTTTGCATGTGCGAATGTGTCTATATGATTGCAGGACAGCTTATGCGCATACGCGATGTTGAATATTAGTGGAATGCCCCCAAGCGGGCGGAAACTTCACTTCGTGCAGTGCTGCGGGGCAGTACAGGTAAGAGATCAGAAGTGTGTTCAAATGGAGCTTTTCAATGGCGCCTCCGAGTTTTACCTCGCGTACTCAGGCGTATTAGAAAAACAGTAATCGCAAAAAGCTATATTTCGTCTATGGACGCACGAAACAAACTTCCTGATCAACATTACTAATGTAAAGGCTCGAGCTAGATGTATGCATACTTATTGGTTGCTACAGCTTGCTGATTCGCAGACAAGCAAGATCCCCGAGCTTCGCAGCGCCGAAATTCCCAGCATTGGCTCGTCCACATACCTCGAAACGCTAACAGAAAGGCTCAAGTACTAAAATACAACAAGCATCCATTAAGACATGCTGTACGTCTCGGGCTTGTGCTAAAGCTTCGAGGTCTGTTCATTTACGTTAGTTTAGAGACCACAAATTACGCTCTCTAGACCAGAAAGCATGAGATAACGGCCGTTAATAATGCAGGCTCTGTGTGTGACCTCTAGTCGACGTGTTGATCGAAACCGAAACCACACCACTCTCTTCCCTGGCCAACTTGTTCCCAGAGTGCAACGCGCGCCGTGTTGCATGCCGGGCTTTATGGAAGTAGTCTATTGAGCGGAGTTGCCCTTTAAGAGATAAAAAAATTAACTTTTTTGTTTTTGTTTTTTAGCAAGGGAAAAGCAGGGACTCAAACTGTAACTGTCACCGAAACCGAAAACAGTTTAGGAACAAAATTTGTTTAGTAACCGTAGCCAAAACGAAACCGTTATTTTATAATTTATGAAAACCGTAGGCGTAACCTCAAATTATTTACCAGTAACCGATATTAACCGAAAAATAAAGATATAGTTTTTATCGAGGACTGATCTTCCAATGTCGTGGCCATTTGACAGAGTAATGCATCTGGTAAGGCATTTCCGTTCAATCTAAGTTTAGGATTAGGAATACTTAGTTGGAATCAGTGGTCGAGCTTATAATGAAAAGTCTCTATTCGATAAAGTTCGGCTAGGGTTCGATTGCGATGCACATGTGCGACGGGCTGGCACAGTTGGCTTTAGTTTGGATGATGACGATTAAGTGATCAAGTCAAACATTCCACTTTTAGTAAGGGCAGCACTGTTTGGTTGTTTTGGTAATATAGCAAGAATAAATTAGGCAAATAACTGACTAACTATTTATAAAATAAAACAACCTATTCCGTAAAAACATTTTCTTCAAATGTAGTGAACAAGTGTTGGAGCTTGAAGCGTGTGCAATTTTCGACTAATTAAAGGTACCACTGGCAAAGCCAATTTGTTTTTCTTTTCTTTGGAGGGGAGGGGATTTTTAGGGATTTTTATGACCGATGGTGGGGGAGCGGGGGAAGTTGTCCTATCTTCGCGTGTAGTGGTATCCCGGCTGGCTGGAACAATTAGGTAATCATTCAGTATTTGTTTTCCTTTACTAACAAAAATAAAAGTGATAATTTTGGGGGGAGGGGGGGAGGGCGTTGACCCCACAAATTAACCTCCTGCCTACGTAACTGAGAATTACTAATATACATTGGATATCTGGCTGTTTTCATAGCGTGAGCTACACTGGCCGAGGTTGAGCAGTTTCTCGTGGCTCGCATAATGAGCCGTGCTCCGTGCTGCGCAAGCGCGAGGAGCAGTGACGTCACACGGCGCACAGCTGGCGCGCCGGAGCCGCCGCCGCCGCGGGCTCCGCCGCCACCGCGCGCGCCTCGCCGGTCTGCGCATTCCAGAGGAGTCACGTCCTAGCCGCGGCAGACGCACTGGCGCCGCCGCGTGCCCAGCTGTGCGCCTCCGTTGCGCAGTAGCCAAGTCTCACGCTGCACCGGAGCCGCATGATAGCGCCTCTTATTTTGTGCGCATAAGCTCACGCTACGTATATCCTGGCATAGCCGAGCTAAGCCACCGCAATATTTTTTTATAAAACGGCTGTCTAGCATTTCAATACATGGCATTCCAAGGTAAACTAAACGAGTAATGGCGGAAGTTCCTTTGGCGGAGATAGCTTCCGGTTGACCAGCTTATTGTGAATGTTTCAATGAGCAAGCATGAGCAGCGCATCTTTTAGGCTTTACAGCGAAGATTTTTATGGCTAGGGTCATCTGGATTTTTCGTGTGCGGAAACAGAAAATTCGTCACGGCTTCGTCACGTCACGAGAGCTCAACACCAATGCAGTTTCTCCGCTAAATTTAGCGGGAAATTGACGTCACGTGACATGACGTCACTATGTCGTGACGTCATTTCTGTTGCTGCACGCGAAAAATCCACGAACCCTAGCCATAAACTTGTCGGGAAAATTTTCCCGCTATATTTAGCGGGGAAATTTACATCACGTGACCTCAACACAAATCCAGTTTCCCCGCTAAATTTAGCGGTGAAAATG